AAAAAAAAAAAAAGAGTTTGAAAACTACATTTGCAAAAATTCAGGTTAGTTTAGTTTTTTTTTTTAACCTAAATTTTTTTAAAACACATATGTACATCCAAAACCATAAAAAAATAACAAACTTCATTTTAAGTAATGGAAGAAAACAAAATAACGCAATATAATACCGCTTTCTTATTTTTTTATTTTTTTTTTGTTTCTGAGTCCAGTTGGCGGAAACAGGTCCCTAGAAAGCCAGGTTATCCCTTCCACTTCGTAATATCATTTAGATTACTACACGACTATGTAGTAAAAGTTGATTGGGACGCCGAAAGTCCGGAATATACGTAGTAGCGTGATTGACTGTGATGTGTAAAGCAGGGATGTTTGATGAGTGTACCTCAGCAATTAATAGCTCTTGTGTGGGGTGTAGGGTGTGGTGGACGGTATTTCACCACTGATAAATAAGCAGTTAATATACAATTTTATTAGAATTTAACTTCTGCTTTTATTAAAAAGTTAGCAAATAAAGTGATTTTGCGTCTATCGAAGCTGTGAAAAATATCATGGAAATTATGATTATTTTGGAAAATATCGAAGCCCTCCCTGATGTGGCTCAAGAGGGGACAATGAAAAGTTTGATGAATAAAGTTATCGAGCTCTCCACAGCTGCAGCGGCTGGTGGTTGTGGGTTTGATTTTGAAGATATACTCCTGTTCATAGGTATGTCCAGTGAGGATCCTATTCATTAATTCAGGTTCTTTAGCAGACAAGGCCAAGGACTTGAACCAGGTATTTTTGGGTTTGGCACTGAAAATTTTAGCGAAAAGATTAGGTTTTGCATTCGAATAGGCTAAAAATCAGCATACCACTGATCATTGATCTTATTACGGATACGCCTGAGTGCTTCTACAGGAGTGAGGCTAACATTGAGGACATTGTCACGGTGATTGGCGTTCTTGGCGATTGTGTAAGCTCTTTCATTGTCTGCTATGCCTTTATGGCTTGCGGTCCAAATTATAGTAACTCTTCCAAAATCTTCATTGGTAACCATATTATGGATCGCTAAAATTATATGGTTATGCATTTTTCCCTTCGTCAGCACTTGGCAGGTAATGAGGCTATCTGTGAAAATGGCAATTCTGCCATATTGTGACTCCTTGGCTATTTCTAGTGCTCGTAGTATCGCTGGCGATTCTCCAAACGAGGAGGAAGCTTTAAAGGGCAGTTTGTGTGCATGCTCTGTATTGTTGGAGTGATTGTATATGGCTATGCCAGTAGTGGAATCACCCACTGATGCGTCTGTAAAAAAAAATATATCAATTTTTACGTTCATAATCTTGTACCAATGAGTTGTAAATGGACCTAATAATTTCGCCCGAGATGTTGTCTTTTTTGTCTGAAGGGGTTTTCATTACTACGTTTAAATTATTGTGTGGTATCAAAGAACGTAGATAACTGTCAAAAAACGCACTAGGGCAAAAGAGAAGGCACGCCCCTGTTGCGCACTTTCGCCACAATTATAACGAGTTGTCCCTTCTTGTTATCTACGTTCTTTGGTGGTATTGTGCTACAGACCACGTTAAGGTCGTCAAAGACATATTTTGAATGTTACGTCTGAGGTGAGATTGCTAATGATTTATTTGGATGTGAACCATTTCGCCCGTTCACATGGAGGCAGTAGACCCGCTTTTACAGAGGTTAGACATTTGAAAAGGTAGGACTTGTTTTGACATTTATTAAATGTATCTTTGTGGTGCTCTCTGATTGCCATACCTAGAAATTTTAGATGTTGTACTTGTTGAAGTGCTTGGTTGAAGGTATTTTTGCTACCTTTGCAGACATGCAGCACCTTGGTTTTTTCGGGGTTAAAGGAGAGATTTAAGTTATTACAAAGAGTGTGGAAGCTATTTATCTTGTGTTGAACGTTCGTGGCTGCCTATGGAATGACAAAAGTACAAAATTGTCAGCAAATTGATACAATGTGGCCATGATGTCTTCTATGGAATGTAACCTCTTGGTGTATAGCTTAAAAAAAGGGGGGAAAGACAACTGCCCTGTGGCAGGCCATTGCAAATCTCCTCCGACTCTGATCCTAACTGCAGTCTTATCAGCGTCAACAAGTTGGTGATCCACTCAACGCATGTGAGATGTATTACTTCCTCAATCATCGTTCTTAGCTTCGAAACATTCACACAATTGTAAGCGTTGCTGATGTATGTTGAACAGAGCAGGACTCTGTACCCTCGACTCTTGTAACAGGCAATTTCATGTAGTAAGTACCTCTTTCCTCTGTATGCAAAGGAATGCCTGGGAAGTGCGGACCTTTCTTCCAGCTGGTTTACTACCCTCTTCTTGATGACACTGTTGATGATCTTTCCACTTTTCCTCAATATCAATGGATATTTGAAACTTTTCGGGGG